ATGATGAAAATTTGGAGGCACCGGTAGTACAGAAGATGATCATGGTGTTGTATGGAAAAGATTGGATTATCTCAAAGACTGAATTAATAGGAACAAAATTAATTGCATTAATATAAAAATATCTTGTACATCGTGAGTGGTTAAAAGCAATATTCTCTAATGCAAGCGTGAAGGCTTATGTCATGGAGATGACTGAACTGGAGAAGAGCATCGCAAGATTACTGCATTGCAAATGTGACACAGTTGTGGTGTTTGTATGGAAAATGGAGAAGCATTTACAGTCAATTTAAGGAGATTCTAGTATAATTTTGTAAATTCCTGAAATATCCTGTGTAATTCTAATCATGCATACTTAAGGAAAAATTAATCAAAACTAAAGCAGATGCAGATTAAAGTAAATTGTAGAATCATTCACTTTGGAAAGGACCTTGAGAAATTTTCTAGCCTAGCCTTCAGCTGGAAGCAGGGACACCACTGAATTCAGACCAGGTTGGTCAGGGATTTGTCAGTTGGGCATTGAAAACCCCCAGTGACCTCTTCCACTGCTTTGATGTCCTCAGGGCAAAAATTTATCACAGTTCAAAGCCTCTTGTTTTCATTTATTACTATTATCTGTTGGTTTTCTGTCTTGGACCTCAGTACAGAGGTCATTGTCTTGGTAATTTAGGCAGAGGAAGGCCACTAATAGGTGCCCACCAGGCCTCCAGGCTAACCAAGCCCAGTGTCTTTAACCTCTGTTTGTATGCTTCAGAGCTTTGAAGACAGTGATCACACCCAGGGCCAGCCTATTAATGAGGAAAACCTTTATTTGTTTATTTTAGCAAAGTGTGTCCTTGTCTGTAGATGTAGAAGGAAGCCATCAAAACGCCAAGGGGGGAAAATGCCTATTAGAACTAAAGCACAAAGTAGGTCCGGCATCAGTGAATCCAACCTGTCCAAGAATAAACTTATGCTGGGAATTAGAAGCAAGCTCCACTCAAGGGGACAGTCAGGTTCTAGAGCAGCCTTCCAGGGAGTGTAAAAACTGAAGATCTTCATTATATTCAAGTGGATACATTTCCAGAAGGAATTAGGTGAGATGATGTACCTACCTTAAGAGTGAACTGGAGTCTAGAACCTGCAGGTCTCTGCTGACCTGGCCTCTGTAATGCTGCTGTTTCACTTAAACTGTTATTCAGGCTCAGTTCAACCTCTTACATGAATCTGGTGGAATTCAGTCATAGAATCATAGAATGGTTTAGGTTGGAAAGGACTTTGAAGATCATCGAGTTCCAACCTCCCTGCCATGGGCCGGGACACCTCCCACTAGACCGGGTTGCCCAAGGCCACGTCCAGCCTGGCCTTGAACACCTCCAGGTATGGGGCCTCAGCAACCTCTCTGGGCAACCTGTTCCAGTGCCTCACCACCCTCAGAGTGAAAAATTTCTTCCTAATGTTTAATCTAAACCTGCCCTCATCCAGTTTGAATCCATTCCCCCTCATCCTCTCACTACATGCCCTAGTAAAAAGTCCTTCCCCAGCTCTCCTGTAGGCCCCCTTTAGGTACTGGAAGGCCACAATAAGATCTCCCCGGAGCCTTCTCTTCTCCAGGCTGAACAGCCCCAACTCTCTCAGCCTCTCCTCATAGGAGAGGTGCTCCAGCCCTCGGATCATCCTCGTGGCAGACTCTCCCCTGGACACACTCCAGCAGGTCTATGTCCTTCTTATGTTGGGGACTCCAGAGCTGGATGCAGTACTCCAGGTGGGGTCTCACCAGAGCGGAGTAGAGGGGCAGAATCACCTCCCTTGACCTGCTGGCCACACTTCTTTTGATGCAGCCCAGGATACGGTTTACAGTCAGTAAAGTGTAGTTCATGGTGCTGTGAGGATTCTCTTTGGCCTGGAGTCATTAGGAAGCTCTGATGCATCTTTGGAGAACAAACTTACTTCTTACTATTATGAACTTGAACTAGGAAGTAAATGGATCGGATTTTGAGAAGTGAAACTTCAGTCTGTATTTCTGAATGCTCTTATCTTACGGCTTTCACTTTTGGTCCGTCTTAGTTTTTAAGTCAATTGCATATCTATTAAGAAAAGGGGAGATGAAGAAAAGCAGTTAGTTTAAACTTGTGGTTGTATACCATGTGGTGATATGACACTTTTCCTCCTCTGCATTTTAATTGTGAGATGGGAGAAATCTTAAGCTGCTACTGGACCATAAAATTGATAACAAAATAACTTGCTTAACTGAATAGATGGGAAGTCACTTAAACATCAAGAAACATCGTGTGGGTTGTAAGTCTCTCATTTCTTGATGTTTAAGTGACTTCCCATTTATTTAACTTTAGCTGTGAAATTAGAAGCGCTGTGGCACTAAGACACTTTGTCATTATGCCTTAAAGAATGAACAAACTCCGTTGCAGATGCATGTAACATGCAAAACACAACTTACGCTACATCTGCATATACGTCACCCAAATTTCTGTTCCAAAAGTTTGAACAGTTGTTACTAAAATCTTTGCATATATAATTAGGTTTTTTTTGGTTTACAGTGTGTAATCTACGCTGAAATTCTTTATTGTGTATGTGATGCAACTGCTGGAGTAGTTACTGGAGCTGTAATGATGAAGCTGGTGTTAGCTGTGGTGGTGGTGGTGGGGCGCCAAGGGCGAGGTTTTCATGCTTGAGGTCACAAAGAGAATGTGCTATTATACAACCCTGCAGAGGGGATGTCCTCCACAAGTTGTATTTAATCCTACTTCTGATACTGTGGCCCTTAACTGCTTTCATCAGTAACGGTGCAGTTGGTGCTATAAAGCAGAAGTGTGAGGGTATGAGTTTGCTCAGAGAATATGTTTGCTGTAGCAAAAGGCTGGAATTTCCTTTGGTAGCCTGAAAAAAAAAAATAAAAATCAGAACTGTTGTCGTTTTGTCGCCTGTGGAAGGGCAAACTTGTCAGGGCCACAAGAATTGTGAAGGTGTCTTGGGACCAGGACTCTTGACAAGAATAGGTGGAAGGGCTTTAAGCGTGCAAGGGATATAGATACAACATCCTTGCTAACTTTTAACGTAAGAAGTAGGATACAGGGTACATAATACCACTAAGAATCCTTTCATGACTTGAAAAATTGAAATTCGCTGCTTTTGGGTCAAAACTTCTCTACCTAACCAAGATTTTTTTTTCCTGCACTTTCCTTTGAGTACATGTGTATACACATATGCTCTTTTTTTTTTCTTTTAGATATGAACTTTCATTTGTGGCATTTTGCCAGAAAGGTTTGTTTCAAATCCCCTGTAGTTTGTTTGAAGTGGGGTTCTCAGGCTTGCAGAATAAGTAGTTAGAGCAGTTACAAGCCATTAAATTTCTCTCTGCTCTTGAGGGGAATGAGATTAGACTCTAAAGGAAGATTCTGGGATTCTTTGCTTCAAACCCTTTGAGCTAGTGTGATGTGCAACTCAAGACTAAGATTCCTTCAAGCCAAGATGGAGAAATAAAAAGATATATATATATATCTTATAGATATACATATGTGCATATATATAGACAAACATGCAAACTAAATGTGTCAGTGGCATGCTGTACTATAAATAAGAAAATACTTTAACCTTTCATTAGAGCAGCTGTTTCCTTGCACTTGATGCAACATCTGCTTGACTGATTTAAGCATTTATTTTGGGCTTCTGCTGATATTTGGTGATATTCTTTTTTTTTTTAATGAAAATATTCCTCCTGCATTTTCACATACTTTGTAATGTATCCTGTAAAATTACTATTTTATATTGATGTGCCTTTATATTCCATAGTAAGACTATAAGAAATGCTCTTCAGCAACAAAAAACTTCAGCACTATTAAGTTACCCATCTTGGGGAGGTGGGGGAAGGAAGGAACTAATATTTTTCACTCTCCCCCTCCCCCTCATTGCTTATATTGATTTTGCATTATATATTAATTGCAGAAGTATGACTTAATCAAATTTTCCAGGAAGCCACGTTAGTTTTGATTATTTCTCTGTGATACACTTCTCCTTTGTGTCTTCACTTCAGTGTGCCTGCTAATCTCAAATCTCAGTAGTGAGAATAAAAAGAAATGTCTCCTTAATGTTATGCTAGCTGAAAAATAACTTTATTTCTGTATTAATGATGTGCCCTAATCATATCTTAAGTGCTGAGCAGGACTAATTTTCTGGAGTTTTTTTAATTGTCTCCTTGTGGGATCCAAATCAGACAGCTCTAGGAGCTGATCATATTTCTACTACATAGGAAAGTGTTATGAACTTCCAAACAGGTAATCCCCACCATAGAAAAATGACACAAAGATGAATTATAGAATCATAGACTGATTTGGGTTGGAAGGGACCTTGAAGATCATCTAGTTCCAATCACCCTGCCATGGGCAGAGACACCTCCCACTAGACCATGTTGTTCAAACCCCCAGCCAGCCTGGCCTTGAACACCTCCAGGGATGGAGTTGCCACAACTTCCCTGGGCAACCTGTTCCAGTGCCTCGCCACCCTCATAATGAAAAAGTTCTTCGTAATATCTAATCTAAATCTGCCCTCTTCCAGTTTGAAGCCATTACCCTTTGTCCTATCACTACACGCCCTTGTAAAAAGTTGCTCTCCAGCTTTCCTGTAGGCGCCCTTCAGATAATGGAAGGCTGCTATAAAGTCTCCCTGGAGCCTTCTCTTCTCCAGGCTGAACAACCCCAACTCTCTCAGCCTGTCTTCAAAGGAGAGGTGCTTCAGCCCTCTGATCGTCTTTGTGGCCCTCCTCTGGACCCTCTCCAACAGGTCCATGCCCTTCTTATGTCGAGGGCTCCAGAGCTGGATGCAGTACTTCAGGGGGGATCTCACCAGAGCAGAGTAAAGGGGCAGAATCCCCTCCCTGACCTGCTGGCCACTCTTCTTTTGATGCAGCCCATCCTTAGACAACCTGAATAAAATCAGAGTTGGGGCACTGCTTGGGCAGAGGGAGCAAGCGAAGGCCAGGGCCATCCCAGGAGCCAGTTAGAGTAGGAGAAATGGATGCTGGGGGATTCGAGCGAGAGGCAGGAGGGCTGCTGGTGAAGAAGCTCCTCACCACTAGTGCCTACTGCAGACACTGCTGCCCAGCACTTGGGGTTGGTTGGTTTGTTTGTTTTTTAAACAGGCAGCCCATTCCCAAGTACAATAACTGTCTGTGACGCAGTCTAAACCTCCGAAATTTTTGGCAGTGTGTTGGTGTTGTAATGAGATGCATTAACGCTGAAAGGATAATTAAAGATAATGAGGTATAGAGGAAGTGGATTGGAGCACAGCATAACCGTGCCTCTGAAAGCCGGAGTGTGGCAAGCTGACTTTTAATGAAAAGAACAGATTTTTCTACATAGACATTTTTATAGTTTCATCTGAATGTGCACGTAGTAACTGATGTAATGCCATATTGCAAACTGTTGGTTAAATAGGAGAAATGAGGATTTAATAGAGAAATTGTGAGTGTGTGTAAGGGCCTAACATAAAGGACCTAGCTGAGAGGAGGGGGAAACCAGCTCAGAGAGAGCTCGTTATTGGAATCGTTACGGATCAGTTGTCAGATCAGTGTTATGTTTCCTGATTCATGTAATGACAAAGGTTCATGTAAAGGGATCTTGCTGCTAGAATTTGTTGATGACGTGAATTTTGAAACATGCTTTTAACGTAGAGAGAATGAAGTGTTACACAGAAATTTTGAGGGTATTTCATAGGCCGTGGGCCCAGACATGGGGGAGGTCTGGAACATCTTTGTGGTGCAGAATACTTCTTTCCACCTACCCTCTTTTCCCTTGGAGGGATGGAGTAATAGGAGCTGGATGAAATCTGGAGCCTTGTGCTTTAGGGCATTACACCACCATGTCAGTTACAAGCTTGGAGGCCGAGTAGTTGAAAGGATCAAAGTAGAGAAAGGATCAAAAGGTACAAAGTAACTGAGGAAATGACAGAGTAGTTGAAAGGATCAAAGTAGAGAAGTGTACGAAGTAACTGAGGAAATGACGTGGTGCAGTTATGAAGAAGGTGCTCTTGGGACACAATCACAGAAGATGTCTCCAGTAGACAGTGGAAACTACTGGTGGTGTTATACAAGCATCTGGTGAGACATCATTTAGTAGGCTTCAGAAATAGTAATTTGTTTTGAGGAGAAAAGAGAAGAAGTTGAAATGAGCAAAGCCAGGCTCCTAGGATGAATGGGGAAATGGATATCTCACTAGAGAAAGCTTGTCTTGGGTAGTCCAACTAAAGAAACTGTATATGTAAGTGTTGTCTATGCATACACAGGTGGAGACAGCTAAGAGAGGAGGAAACTATTTAAACTGAAAGACAATATAAGCAAAACAACAAATGGACATAGCCTGGCCATAGCTAAATTTAGGCGTAACATTTTGAAGTTGTAGTTCATTACAGTAGTCAGATTTTTTGAGTAAAAATGAATAATGGAACTTAGTCTACTAAACTGCTGATTTCTGCTATATCTTGGTGAGATTTGAAAAGAATTCCTTAATCATTCTGGAAATATCCAAGAAAATGGAACTTTAGCCAGATGTGTTCTGAATTTTATGAATAATTGTCTTTGACTAAACAGCATTCTTCTGCAGCTTCTCTCCTTTAAGTTTTTTGCAATGTCCTGGTATGCAGCAATATTCTTACAGTGGCTACGGTGCTTTCTCAGACACAGCTACCGCTTGGCTTCATTCCTGGGCTAATGGCAGAACTCATATTTTCTTGAAGGGCGTTAGCAGAGGGTCGGGATGGGGGACCTAGTCCTTTTATGCTAACTCCTTTTATCCTTGCTACGCTTTGAAATAGAGACTCAGTTGCTTTTTGGAGGAATTGTTTTCTTCATTGACCTTGAAGTGTGCAGGATGATAGAGATCGTAATTTGGATACTTCCATTAGGTACTTAAAGATAGGTGGGATGAATCCATGCCAAAGCATTCAAGAGAGACTAGACAATCTATCTGGAGAGCTTCTGAAATAAATGGGGAGTAGGTGACTGAGGCAGGGCTTTCATGTTTGGTGGATATGATGTGCTGTGATTTTTGACTCTGAAGAAGTCTTGAAAACTCGGGCATCGCTGTAAGTTTTTCCTTTTGTCATTTTACTGAATTCCAACAAGGAAAGCTTTATTGCAGCTTAACTTAAAATGAGAGCCACGGTTTGAAAGCGTGATTTGGAAAAAACGAAGCAGTTAATATGCTAAAGTCTTGCTAAAAGTTGGTGCAGTTTAGGCTTGTAGGCCAAAACAAAAAAGCTGGTAGGCTCCTACTTGCCATGGGCATTGGGAAGTGCTAGCTACCCGAACACATTTTGTGACCTTGCTAGCAGTTGCTTGAGGAGCCAAAATTTAATCTCTTTCACACTGTAAGTAATGTCATAGTGAGCTCTTTATATACGTTTTTTAAATGCTATATGGAAAAGGAATTATATTCAGTAACTTGCAAGCAGAAGAGAGGAAAATTATAGCTGAAGATGCTAATGGTTAGATAAAGGAAACCAATGATAGAAATACTGTGATGTGGTGTTATTACGGTATTGCATGTGGATCTCAACCACTTTGCTCGTAGTGAAAGACAATGGTGGAACAAAGTTGTGGGTTCAGAAGACTGTCGGAGGGATTCAAGTTCCGTGGCAGCTGGGACCAAGGAAGGATGCCATCTGACTGGTGTTTTATAGGAGTTGCAGTGGGTGAGATGAGGGCTGACAAATAATGTAGTGGAAGGAGTGCACTAAGGCTTTTACTGAGGCTCACAGGCTGTTCAGACGCAGATTTTGATATTTCTAGTACTCTCTGTTCAGGTTTATTTTTCAGGTTTATATTTTTCCTCTTCATTCAAGAAGATGCATTGCCACTGTGTCTTGGCTGGAATTATTTTATACTCTGCTGAAAGCTTTTTTTTTAATGGCACAGTTGATCCAATCGTTAGCTATCAGACTCTTCTGATTTTTTATCATCAAAAATGCTAGCTGTTAGAATTTAATCTTCCTAGATTATGTGTAAACAAACAAAACTTTATTGACTACTTTGACCCTATTTTAACACCATCTTAAACTGTTTTCTGAAAACACTTTGGATCAGTCTTCGTCTAAAACCAATGGCAACTTTTTAGTAACTTTAAAGAAAATAATAATTTAACTCTTTTCTAGATGCTTTCCTAATACAGCTTTTTTTTTTAACAGATAAATTTGCGCCTCATCTTGGTAAGCGGGAAAACAAAAGAGTTCCTATTTTCCCCGAATGACTCTGCTGCAGATATTGCAAAACATGTGTATGACAACTGGCCGATGGGTGAGTAGCTGTGTGGCTTTGGCTTTTTAACTGTCGACCTAGGAGCTTCCCTGTATTATCTGACTGAAGTGTCAATAAGCCGATTTCTCTTCTCAACATTCCAATTAAATGTTTATTGTGTATCTGAGCATATATCTAAATATAATTGTCTTCTTGCCTTCCATTGCCCTCTTTCTTTGATTGGGTGGATTTTTAGACGTTTGGACTGCTTTCCACTTTATTTCTAAAATTTGCTTCCCCAAACTGAAGTATATCTTCCCCCCCCTATCTTTAGACACTTTTCTTGATCAGCCTTGTTATAGGATCTAGTGAGTGTGAGGAACTTCTTATGTGAGAACAGATAATGTAAACCACGACATGGCACAGGAACATGTGAAGTTCAGCCTGAAGTACTTTTTCCTTACTGCCTTATCTTGGAAAGGATCTGTAATAATGATATTTTTCCAATAAAATGTCAAATATAAAAGAACATATTAAGAGACATTACAAGACCAAGGGAAACTGAGATTGTTTGTATGAATACCTGGTGTTATGCAGGAATACTAGCTTTGGAAAATGGAATCGAAAACTTAAAATGTGTATTCACGCATGTGAATAGTTTCACAAAAACAAAGTGCTTCTGTTCTCCCTCACTCTGATTTCATGGGAAAACAGCCAAAACATAGACATAGCATTACATATGATGAAAGAAAATGCTTCTTTTGGTACAGGACTTCATTTGGGTTACTGTTTTGATGTTAAAAAAGACTACTATTTACACAAACTAAAACATTGCAATATCTGTTTCTGTGGTGCCTTTTGTCAAAGAGATATGGTGGATGATAATTTATGCCAAAAAAGTTAGTGTTGATAATCTATATTTTAAGCCTTAAACTGTTCTTTGAGATCAGGAAGAACAGGGTTTCAGGGGACTTGTTTGCTGTTTATTTTGCTGGGATGCAGCATTATGTATGTAGCAAAATACGTAATGAAGGAGGAGGTTTTTAGTCCCCTGAAGTATTAGATGTAAATGTAAAACACTTTTGCACTGAGAAATCTGGTTGATGTAGCATCTGTGTACCTACTGTACATATTTTAATGTGTGCCTACAACATAGTTGTCATGACCAAATGTTCTTTGTGTACTTTTATCTGAATTAGGAAAGGCAGAACTGTTTTGATTTTTCTTACTCAAGTTTATTCCTGAACATGTGGTCTCATGTTTCCAGTCTTGTGAAGAGCTTGAAGGTTGCAGATTCCGAGTTGCGAGATGGGAAGAAACCCAGACTTTAAAGTCTCTTTTTTAAGAAAAGTAGAAAGGGACGTGGAAGCCTCAGTTCAAATACCTGCTGAGGGAGTGCTCTAAATCTTGATGAATATTTAATTGTCTGTGCAGAGAAGAATATTGTCAATTTAAAAGACTGAGGAAACATCTACTTCAGAATAGCGTATAGGTTTTCACAAAAATTAGCCCACTAGCTGTTTTCAGAATGAGAGTTCTCTTCTTTGCCACGGGACTGAGAAATCTTGATGAGGACTAAAGTTTCCTTGAAATAGAGACAATATGAATTTATTAATTTTTTTTACCACCATTTTGACTTATGATCTTGGCGGGGGGGGAAGTCACAAAATGTCCTCAGTCCCATGCTGGCAGGATTAAGGCAAACTTCTCTTCCCTTCTTTTGGCAATACAGTTGTTAAGTTGTTAATTAAGGATCTCTTGACTTGTAATGGAAAATACCAAATTTATATTAATGTATATCATGTAGGTAGATTACCTGTTCTCTTCCCCCGCTATTTCCTTCTAAAGAACATTAACTTTTCTTGTACAGCAATTAACTGCTGAATTAAATTAAAAAAAATAAAAAAAAAAAAATCCGTAGGTAAATATTTTCTTCTTGGCTCATTTAGTCATCAGGAGAAATTAAAATTTGAAATCATGTCAGAAAGAATTGTTTCAGACTGCCAGCCAAGAAGCAAAAATTAAAAGGATGCGTAAATTGGCAGCTTAACAATGAGCAAATACCTGTGCCAAAATATAGTCTGTCATCTTTTGGTTGCTGTTTTACGTCATTATGGCACTCTAAACTGGCTGAACTTACCTTTACAGCCATAGTATAGTGGAGTTCAGACTTTATGGAGTAAAAAATAAAAAAAAATTGGTATCTTGCAAAACATGGTTTACCCTAGCAGTATGATAATTCAGATCCTTAATGTAGCCCAGTTCACGGTGTAGCAAAAGGGGCTGATGCCTGAATTACAAGACAATTGAATCAGACTGTGAGTGGAAACACTTGAAATTCAAATAGCTTTGGTTGCCTAATTTGATCTAATCTTATAAACTAGGCACATGGCAGCAGCCGGGGATACTGCAGCCTTTGCTGTTGGTACCAGCCCTGCCTCCGCCGTGTTCTGGGGCTGTGATGGCTCCTGCTGCCCGCATCTCTGCCTGCTTGCTTTTTTGCACCAGATGCCTCTCTGTACACTCTCCGCAGCCGTGGCTTTTGTTTTAAATGCTTCCTTTTCTCCCCCTTTCAGTTCTTTGCCCTTTGTGGTGCCAGTTGCTACTGCCCGTATCTTAATTGTATGTTCCCAGTGAACAGGTTGGTTTCTGTTGCTTGTCGTGATCCCTTGCTGAATATTCATTTTGGTATATAAACACTACAAAAGCAGAAAGAGAGAACATTTGTGAACAGCTGTTACCAGATATCTGGACAGCTAAGAAGCAGAAGACACTGTATTCCCAGAGAGCCCGTTTAAATTCAACATTTTAAGGTTTTACGATATTTGTTCTGAAAGCAAAGTGCAGGTTTATTTGTTGTTCACATTGTGACAGGGAACAGTAAAAGAGTAGGAAAAGATCATTTAAGCTTATAAATGATTTATGACGGCTTAAGCATTATAGGAAATGCATTATAGGAAAATGCATGCTTGCTTTTCCTGAATCACTGTTTGCCACATGAAAACATCCACAGATTGTCCTTTGAGAAGTTCCTTAAAATGCATGCGTCAGTGTCTGCTCTGTGAGAGCCCTCTGTTCAGGCTCTCCCCAGTGACCGTTCGGGGCTGCTCAGGTCACTGCCCCCTCTGGACATTTAGCTGGTTGGATCTGGCCACCATCGAACACCGCTGAGCAGCCTGCGGAGCGTTTTCAGTGCTGTCATCTGAGAATCCTATTTCAAATGACCCATCACATGCGCTTTTCGCTCTGTGTGCGGCTGCTTCCCAGTGCTGGAGAATGGTTCCAGTTAGACAACTAGCTGGTGAGGAGTATGGCTTGAGAATCTTCGGAATGGGAAGAAATTAAGGCAATTTTAGCGAAGTGGGTATTAAGCCTCAGGAAGCAACTTGTGTTTCTGAAATATTTTGTGTAGGACTTGCATATGTGCTAAATATCTCATGCAATCTGTGAAGTTACTTAGTAATATTTATACTCACAGTCATAAAATTATGTGTTTCAATGCCCGGTGTCAAATTATAAATTTAAGAATAGATTTCAGGAGTACTAGCCTTGAATTATCTTTTTGTATCTTCAGCCTATGCTGTCTTTAGTGTTTCATGCAAAAGCAGAGTCCCATTCTTAGTTTTCTTCCTGGGTAAAGGTGAAAGAGAGAACAAAAGATGTGTTTATTACAGTGTAACTGTGAAAACTCTCTCGTTTCTTTTCAGACTGGGAAGAAGAACAAGTCAGCAGTCCAAATATCTTGCGGCTTATTTATCAAGGGAGGTTTCTTCATGGCAATGTGACATTAGGAGGTATGAAAATAATTTTCATTATGCATGTTACAGCCAGGCAAAGGGGATATTTATTTGCAGTGCAGTAAATACTACTTTACTGTTCAAGATAACAGTAGAGCTTGCCTATATACTATTTTTCCTCTGCATAGAGTGTCATTGTATCTTAGTGTCTATTTTTCCATCTTGTTACCGCTAGTTGTTAAAACTTTGGGAGGTACCACCTGCTATGTCAAGTCTCCTTTTGCATAAAGAAACAGTAATGCTGCTTTTCTTTATTGTCTAAATGGAATATTTTGTTCCACCTCTCTTACGCTGCACTTGCAGGGTAAACTGCTTCATATATGTCTGAAGTATTTTAAAATGTTTGATAAACTTTATGATAATTGGTTAAACAATACTTTAAATCTTAGTGCAATGAAGGAAGACACCCTATGAATGAGAATGAGGGGAAGCATTCTTGCTGTCCAGTGCTCTCCTAGGGATACAATTGCATAGTTATGTGAAAACAAAAGTAAATGGCCTCACTTCATATGCTAAGGACATGCAATTCAACTATGCCCCCTTGTGGCGAGTTTTTTCCCACAATTATATATTTTTGATATGTATCTTAGGTAGAGATATGGCACAAATTTGTAACAATAATCTTTCCTTTTGTAGATAAAAGTTGCCAGTGTGAATATCAACTCTATCAATGACCAAGCAAGTTGAGACTCTGTTCCCTGTGCCAGTTTAAAAATAAATTAATGCTTCTGCTTTCTCTGTGTGTTCAGATTGTTCATGCATTTGGTACTTGAGTGTAACACAGAGAGGAAAATATAATACAAAATCACCAATGAAATATTTTTGAAGTTAAGATGAACCTGAAAAGAATATTTCTGGACTGCTTATGGAGATCTTTCCATGAAGAAGTGACTGGGATGATATAGCCATTGATTTGCTTTCTACCATTACTGATGTTGGCTAGTGATGTGCTTTTAGAATAGATTTACTCTCCATATAAATCAATTTTTAATGCTGCTATATATACAAACAAGATCGTTGTCAATTCAGCTGGGAGAGCTCTGAAATTTTTATTCACTCTTTAATTTGTGTGTTTACCAGGTGCCAATGAGTGCAGCTAGTAGCAGTTGGAGTAGGGTTGAAAGACCAGTGTTACGTTTTGGATCATCTCTGCAATTAGAGATGCTAGTCTTACCCTACGTTTTCCAGGCAAGGATAGCTAAACGGGATTTTCTTTGCCATTCATCTCTAGGTGTTTCTCACGATCGCCAGTGCTTGTTCCCTTTAGTAACATTTGTCTGAATCCAAAACAACTTTGAATATTTATTTAATACATTGTTTTACAAGTTAAGCTGCAAAATAATAGCTGCATGCAGTTGACTCTAGCATTAACTCAGGTCTATGGATTTTGAACACTTATGTGGGTTCATTTTAGTTCATTCCTAATCATCCATGCGTTGCAATTTAATCATCATGATTTTACCCTAAGGACCTTACATGTATATTAGTATTTTTCAGAGATCTTTTTGTTGCTGTATTGTTTTAAGAAAAAGAATCCCTAAAACATTGGCTTCTTTCAGTACTAATGAAGTTATCTGGACTAAGATTATGCAGCTGAAAGGGGAACAGCAATTCACGAAGCAGACTGGAAAGACTGTTACTTGTGGTGTTCATTAGATGTAACCCTAAGTGGACTAGTTATCTTTAAAGAGGCGGGGGTTGCTGGAGGGGGGAGGGAATTTCTTGCTAAATACAATATTTAGTTTCTGTTATAATACCGTTCTATTAAGCTTTTCTACCTGTAGCGCTCTATAACTGAGTTATAGCACTTAGTGTTTTATTTGCTTTAGGTGATTAGGAAATAACGACTGGAATTTGGACCCACTGCGTACTGAAAGTCACTTTATCAACTAGTGAAACAAAAGTTTCCAAGGAAACAGTTTGGTGTTTTCTTTTTTAACAGGAGTCCATTTTTGTTCACATTTAAAAATGACATTGTAATGTTCTAGTTGTAACCATGTCTATGTTGTGTCTTATGAATTTGAGACTTCTTTAAACTAAGAAGCACCAAAAAAGGACAAACTGATAGGGAAAACTAGCTTTTGAGTGGAAAATTTTGTTTTAAAGAAACAGTCTCTTTTGCCAGCTTCTCTGAATGGACTGTCACTACAAGAACAGTAGAGCTAATGGCACTGGAAGTGGTAAAGAGCTGTAAAAAAAAAAAAAAAAAAAGCTGTAAAGATCGCTGTGCCACTCTTGCCTGCCTGTGTGAAGGGTTGGGGAGTTAGCTAGCAAGGCAGAGTCTGTTGTTCAGCTTCCAACAGGAAATTTCATCCTTTAGCTAAATATTTGGTCTGCAGTTTGCATTTGAAATAATATTAATTAGGGAGGTAATACATAATTGACAGTTCTCCGTTTCTTGTTAGATAATGGTAATTGGCAACGTTTTACTTCCCGCCTCCCCAATAAATAAGGAAGGGAAGCCAAGCCAACCCACCCTGTGCCATACCGAAAGAGGTGGTGAAAAGTAAATTCCGACAATAGAAAATCTGGAATAAAAGTGGAATCAAATAGATGGGAAAGGAATTAAATAAAAGTTTACTTTAGGTGAGAGAAAGGGGTGAAAGAATGAAGACAAGAGCAAGAAAGGACTACTGAGCATAGGTTAGGGTGCTCAGATTCTGACATGGTGCTCCAAACGAAGCTGGAAATTGCTGATAAGAAGTTGGGTGAACTATGCAAGCTACTTGCTGAAATTAGTTAATTGAACTATTAGCATACTTTTACTTGATTACTGTAAATAATTAATCTCCGCAGCTCACTAATCAAGTCTCCTCAAGTGTCTTGATATTATGAAAGATGTCCCTAATGTGGTTAACTTGTAATATTTTGCTCTTTCTGTAATGGCTTCTTAAGAGTTTGTCATGAAGACAGTCCTTTTCCATTGAGTTTAACAGACTGCTAATATGCTCTTTTCAGTTGTATCACAGAGTCAAGTACCCAAAATACTTCATCCTTGTCAGACTTTAAGCTATCAATAGCTTCTAGTTGCAGGCACAGGCAGTGCTTCAAATCAACTAAGCAACTTTCAGATCTGACTTCCTAAAGAGGTGGCTTTTTCCAAAGAAAAAGCTGCTTCAAAGAAGGTTGTGGATCTGTGTATCCCTCCATATGCTTACACCTGCGTTTTCATCATAACTTTCATTTTTTCAAACAAATACATAGGCAATGGATGTGATGTAACAGGAGTGTTGTAGCTAGGCTTGCATTGAATACATGTAGTAACCAAATACTAGGTTGATTTGTTTATTTTTTATTACTGAATTTTGAATCTATGCTGTGGTGATTAAAATAAAGAGAGAGGCATTTTTCTCTTCAGTTACCTTCAGGTTTATCAAACATTCATTATTCATGTATTCACCTAAAATGCCTTGGTGCACTGTATGTGAAAATAGAAGATGTAAGTTGAGTTTGAGAGGACAAATTCTACTCAAGTCAGAATGATTTCTGTATTTAGGGTTAAATTCTTGTTACATTTATCACTAACTTTATTCTCTGTAAGGGGGGGGTGAGGACAAAACTTAGAGAGAGCATCTTTACCTTACATTTCTCAGAAAAGTAATCAAGAAAGATGCTTAATCTTAGGAGTTGGAGAGAGGAAACAAAACTAAAGTTATGTAAAGAACTTGTAAAAATAACTCCCCCTTCCTCCCCAATATTTGGAAGAAGTACAAGTTCAGAATATTGAATCTGGCAATGAGAATCTGCCAAATACAGTGAGCAACATTTCATTTCAAGGAGACTAGAAGTTTTGATAAATATTATACTGCAGTCCTAAAACCATAAATACAGCATTGTGTTGGTGTACTGAAATCAGAATGTGAAATGATCATTTTGGTTTCAGCAGCAAGCAGAGCGACTTGTGGAAAGCTCCAATTTTGTTATTTCATGTTACTAAAGCTCACAAAGGCAGCATTGTGAGAGCTACCTTATCTGATTTAAAATGTTTTAAATTCGGTATTTTTCACATGCAGCTGATGTTACAGATTAATATTAAAAGGCAAGATGCAGACATGTTGTATTTTGGAAAATTTGTATTGTGGATCAAAGTATGTTACAGGAAAACCTGTTTTGTAGTAGTGGCTCAGTGTTCTGATGTCTCAGGAGTAACAACTTAGTGGCTGAATTAGACACTTCTTTGCATCCTTATCAATGAAGAGTGCTTAGCATCTGAGTCTTGGCACGAATGCCCACTTTTACTGAAAAGATGAAGGTTAAGTTTCCTCACAGGAATATCACATCTCTAAGAACACTGTGTTTTAAGTGATTGTTACAGGGTCCCAGACCCTGATCTACAAAACTTTAGCCAGAAACGCCTTTATAGATCTATTTAGTAAGCAATTCAAACCTAACAGTATGAACTTTTGAACAGATGCTAATCCAATTATAGTTAGTTTCAATTGAGTGTTGTGTAGAAGACAACTGCTGTAATGTGTTAATAAATCTCCCTTTCTCCTTTTGCAGCGTTAAAACTTCCTTTTGGCAAAACAACAGTCATGCATTTGGTGGCCAGAGAGACGTTGCCAGAGCCAAACTCTCAAGGTACGCTGTGCACTAGAGGTATTTCTTACTTAAGTACACGGCAAAGCGGTCAGATCGCTTACAGGCTTTTTGAGTATTTCGTAGTAGAGAAAAGTCAAGTCCTGCTGGTCTTTTGTGACGCAAGTAATGAAGTGCTTTTGTGCGTGTTGTTTATCAAAAGCTATGGAATTAACCTTCTGGTTTAGTGGTTTTATAAAATGAGAAATTTACTCAAACCTTTAAAAGCTTTTGTTTTTATTGTTAAAAGCTACTGATTTATTTTTCAGTTATGTATGCATATGTATAACAATAAATTATTTTTGGTTTTACCTAAAATAGTAAAAACCATACTTGTATCAAGCATACTCACACAAAAAACAACCTAATTGCTTTAAAAATGGCATGTAAGCAAAACTTCCTTCTTCCTCCACAGGTCAAAGGAACCGTGAAAAAACTGGAGAAAGCAATTGCTGTGTAATCCTGTAAACCCTGTTAGCTTTACCTGCTAAGTGTGATGTAATATAGTCTTTGTCTTTCATGCTGCTGGAATAGAAGAGGCCCTACCTTGCTTCAAACACCTGTAGGAAGAGCCTACGGAACTGAAATATTACATGAACACTGTCTTATTAGTCTTTTTTTTTTTATTATTAAGAGAAAGATCTATGAACACTTTCATTGTTTATTTTTTTTTTTAATACCTGCTTTTTGTTTGTTGAATAATCTTAACAGTACATCAGTTCTTGAAAGAATTCAATCTCCAGAAAAGTTAATGTGTTGTTTTCCATAACAGGAATAATTTTGCTACCACAAAAATCTCCATTAACCGGATCTAACCAGTCAAGCTTTCTAGATGCAATTTGCACTAAATATGGTTGACGGTATATTTCTCATCAACAATCTCTAACAATATTTGAGAGACCTAGTAATAACCTACCATGTATAACACAACACTGGAAAATAGTATATCTGTAATTAATACAAATCTCACTTATGGCCAAAACAAAGGAAAAACTGTTAAGTCGATTCTACCTAAGTCAACCTTGGTGGCCGAACTGGCACAGAATACTAACTAAACCAAGTCTAACTATATATATTTTCACTGCAACAAACAAATAAACAAAAAAAAAAACTATGTGCCTGTAATTTAAAAGCACTCTGTAGAGGGCTGATGAAACTGATTTTTTTCGTTACTGCGTGCACTCTGATCTCGTACGTTAGTTGAGTGCTCATTCAGACAGCACAAACAAGCGCAGAGAGTGCATTTCCTAGCCTTAATATGGGAGGGGTAATTTCCTGTAGTTCATAGGCTTTTATTATTGTGCATAAATGTTAGAAAACATCATTTACTAATCAATTTTATGTATTTGAATATTGGCAATTGGTGTTTTTCAATCATTTTCTCATCTGTACCTTAGTGTCCAGTGTCATGCTTACTCATTAGGGACTTCAAAAGAATTATTAAAGTTTAAAAAGCAAAAAGAAAAACCTCTGTCATAGTACTAGTTTTGTTTCTTTACGTAATCTGCATTTGGTGTTAGTGCTTGCAATCGTATTAAAATCAGAAGCTGATTTTTGAAGGCATACGTAATTAAAAAGGATGCCATTCTTTTATTTCATATCAATAATTTAAACGTTGATATGCTAAAGAAATTTGCACAGCACTAAAGCATGAGCTAGTTTCATCTAAATCTGTAAAAAATAAAAATAAATAAAAATTAAAAAAATATAAAAGATTTTCTATTTTTTCACTGGGGAGTAATTCTTCCTGGGTGAAATTACAAATATGTGTAGAATATATTTAATAAAAATCTTATAAAATACATAACTATAGAAGTTAAATATAGATTGGCGTGTAGTATAATAGAACAATATTCCATATAAATAGCTTTAGCCTTTAAAAAAAAGTCACAGGTTGACATTGTGTTCTGTACTTAAGTGTCCACAACTCTTACAGATGTTCTGTGTAATTGTTTTTTCGAATGATTGGCATCATTCAAATGTAATCAGATTATTTTATTCATTGTTACTGCTTTGATGAAATGCTTTATATGCAGTAGATTTACAAAAATATTGTTCATACTGATCAGAATTAAATTTGTATAGAGCAGAGTTTTAAAACAAATTGTAAATAGCACTAAACATTTTCTTTCTGCAACCTGTACTGATAGACTCCTCTGTAAACTAAATAAAAGAATATTGTAGTGCATTTTGGTGGTGTTTTAAGGGTTGTAATTGGGTCTGTAACTACTTTTAATAAGACTTAATCTGGAAACTAAGTAAGGACTCCATCTATTTTTTTTAATAAAAAAAAAAAAAGGAGGGAGGGTGGGCAAAACCTGCTGAAAACTGTTCAACACCTTAAATACCTCAGTAACACGGGTTTGGGTGGGAAAATGGCTATGACAATACAAGAGAAAGAAACGGGCCGAGACAGGACATGTTTCATTAGTTAAACAAGTCTTTCAGATGCATTGATTTTGAAAAATGAATGTTTGGAATGTAATCTCGGTTTGAAAAAGCAGCAAGGTACTTCATATAGTATAAATACATGAAAATCCAACAGCTTCTGGTTAAAATATTTGGCGAGCTTGAACAGCGAACTATGTAGAGTTCCTTTTGTTGGGATGAATAAGATGCATATATGTGCATGTCCAAGCAAATCCTTAAATGCTGCTTGGCATTTAAAGCGTGAGCTTGCCAAAATAACTCCCGCAGAAAGCGGGTAGAACCGTTGCCTTAATTTTCTTGCAAACTGCCAGAGTTCTGCCCATCGTGGAACATGTCTGTTGTGGTGTGAGGCTGGTGGAAAACTGGGGGGGAGAACTGCTGAAAGATTTGTGCTTTTTTCCTTGGGTGCTTTGTATCGTGGATTGTATATTTGCCAAAAAAAAAAAAAGAAGCAGTAGCTCTTAATCCCAGATTCCTCAGCCTTGCTAAAGTTCACATATACGCTTCTCTTCTGCGTTGATCGGAGTCAAGAGGATACTTGCTGCCCGTAAGGATTAAAGCTGAGTCTTTGCAGGGTCAGGCTGTTGGATGGTCTGATAATACGTTGAAGAGTTTGACGTTTAATTTTCAGTGTTAGATAGAAATGATATTTTCCCTATGGATGAGTTAATAGATGTCACGGAGGAAGGGAAGGAGAGGATGAATTGGCGCCCTTCACATTCTGAAATACCACGAAGGGACCACATCTGTCTCCCAAACTATTGTGTGTGTTATCGATCATAAATTAATATTCACACGTGTGAGGAATGGTATCTGGTAGCAGTGAACGTACTCTGCAACTTCTCTTCTCTTAAATGATAGCGAAAATATGACTGTTTCAACAGTCTTAGGGGTTCGCTCAGCTGCTGGAGGAAGAAAGTATGGCCACTGATGCTAAAGGCTTTGCTGAGGTGCTGCGTCATTATTAATCCAGTGCAGTCTCTGAATACCTTTCCTTAGTACACTGCATTTACAACAGGGGAACGGTGATTTAATTTAGAAAATAAATATATAGCGCTCTGAAAAAGCATCCTTCCTCTCTTATAGGTAAGAAGGCAGCCAGCTGTTTCTGGGCTGGCCAAAAGTCGGGACTTTCTGCTGCTGCTCTTTGAAGTAAAGTTTGTGTATTTTGTGGTTCTGTTTGTGCTTCTGATAAGATTCATTATAGAAATCTGACTTCAAGAAGCAAATAGGAAGATGGATATACTTCTCCATCTAAAACTGTCTTGATAACTTTGTGCTAATTAATTGGGTAAGCTTAAGCAGAATTTTGGGTTTATGTCATTTGTAAATCGGCATTTAGACCATTTGCACCATTGAAATGGATGGGAATTCTGTGCTTAAATCAGAAGAAATGCCAAAATCTGTTAAGATTCTTAATTCCTACCCCCTTTACTTCTTCTGAAGTCTTTAGATTCTTCCTAGATACTCTTTCTTGGCCATAACTTGTCAATATCAGGCTTATTTTCAGAGTACAATAAAAGGCCTTTGTTGTTATTTGAGAGGCTGACAGTAATATATGGTTCATGATAATAAGTTGTTAAAAATCCTCCTAAGGCAGTAGCATATTTGTCTTTCTGTGCCACGTGTACATACCTGTGAAGAGGTTTACAAAGGAATAGCTAATTTGCTTACCAATTTATTATACTAGACTGAAAAAACACAGAAACCTCTTTATACTCTGGGTTTTCCCAATAGTTATGATTGATTTCCGCCTTTTTTTTTTTTTAATTGATGGGCTGGGGTTTTTTTAATTAATCTGGAAAGGGAATGACCCATGAAATAAAAAATGGTGAAGGTTATTAAAGTCAAGCTCACAAAAAAATAAGCGAAATTTAATGGTACCTTATCAAGCTCATGAAATGGATCCCAGTGACAAATGAAGTTCAGTTTTGAATGTAAAGGACGACATAGTTAAAAAAAAGCAAGGTACTCGCACAACTCTTGAGTTTTAAAATTACCTGGATCGGTCCGGGACTGAGGTCTGGGCATTGTGGGCAAACGCTTTGTATTGCAAATTCCTTTGGGTTTGGAAAATGACAACAAAAATAATGAGACAGCAGAAATATTATAGAGAGATTGAAGAGAATGAGAGGTTAAAATAGCTACAGTTATGACTAACACAGAGAAAATGGATGGAGAACTTCTATTTTTGTCTTGTAGCTTTATTGGCCCAGTTCTTACATCAGTCTTTAAAGCAGGGGTGACAAATTCAAGTCCGATAGAAACATTTTTCATGAAATCAATGGCACTCACTTCCACCAGAAGTCAAGGAGAAAAGCTGAGCAAGATTTAAAAGGAAAATGGATCACTGTATCAATGAAAATTGATAGAATTTCCAGAATTATCGTAATTAGTGATGCAGAACTTTTTCTCAACAACGCGTCTCAACGTAGTAATTTTTGTCCTTCAGACATTACGTTAACTTTTGATGAGGAGCCCAGCTCTTAGGGGGAAAAGTATTTCTGGCACCTTACCACCTCCAGTATGGACAAGCAACTGTGTAAGGCGAGCTCCAGCCTGGGCAGGAGAAGCCTATGGTGAACCCTGGTAGGAGTTTATCTGTACAGACCTGCTGCTTCATGAGAAGAACTTTTGGTCAGAGTCAAGGTGGTGGTTGCGCTTTCCCAGAGCCGGCTGGAGGGAACGAGTTACCGCGTTGAGCTGGCAGAGAATGTGAACTGCAGGCAGTTCCTCAGGGCAAAAGTTCATGTCTCTTGAGCGGTGCGAGATGAAAGCACCCTGCTTTTATCAATTCAGAGGACGCTGAATTTATAGGTAGTAAATGTTTTGACTCTTCTACCAGAAATTACTCTTCAGCTACTACTTTTTTTTTTTATAGAGGCGGGGTAATGGGATGAAACAGAACAATTTTCTTTTTGTGCTTTTATCTGTTTTATCTGAAGATCAGGAAGAAATAATGGGAGAGGTTTTAGATGCCTACTGTAGGATCGACCATTAAATGGCTGGTCAAAATTCACCTACCAGCAGCTATCCGTGCCACAAAGAGCAGCTGTGGGAAAGAGGTGACCAATGAGTTGACCACTGCCCACAGTGCGGCAGCTCTAATTGCCAGGGTGATGTGGCCGAGGTTGTGAGAAGGGGGTGATGCTTGGTCGCTTCGTGAGGCTTTCAGTAGTTTCCTGGCAAAAAAAAAAAGGGGGTTGGGATCTTGCACCAGGCATTGGGGGACAGCATAATAGGGTGCAACTACCTGTAGAGGCTAGATTTTAAAAAAAATAATAATAATATAAAAACAAATCCATGGCACTGGAAGTCAACCACGCTGGATGGTTGGTGCTGCACTTCCAGACCACGGCAAGGAAATAAGTATTGGTGTCTGCATTACCTGCATCTGCCTGTTACCTGTGATGACTGAATTAAAGAAAGATTTGAGTTTCAGTTCTTTAATTTATGCAACTCACATGTGTCCCTAAACAAGGATCGTTAATCCCCCGGTGCTGCCACGGTTACGGCTCTGCCGCAGCAGGCAGCAAAGCTGGCAGGGACCTCGCGGCCTCATCAGTGCTGCAGCTGTGCGCCCCGGTGAGAGATGAAAACCACATAGGTCTTAAGTGGGAAGAAATTTCCATGTGGCAAATCAGCAAGTGCCCAGGCAAGGGAACTCCGCCAAATCCACGTGACTGTACCAGCAGCTGAGTTTTCTGCCTTTCAGTAAATTCAGTGGGTATTCTTCTGGACAGCAAATATGCAAGGGTCTTCTCATGCACTTTTGCATTAACTAAGCGATGTCAGCCAAATCGTTTGGTTCCTGGTCACCCTGATTGCCAGCATCCCAGGGAAAGGTCTTCTCTCAACAAACAGATATGAAGGCTGCCTCAGACTCGCTATTTTTCTTGTCCTCTGAGAAATTACCATTTCTGGCTTCATCACCAAAGTCTTCAAGGGTCCCATTGTTCTGATTTTCTCCCAGCCCGGTGTTTCTGGCTGCAGGTGGCAGTGATCACCACCGGACCCCTGCTCTGCTGAGCTGGGTCCACAGCAAGGACGGGAAAAAGTCGTCACCGGCATGGATGCAGTGTGTCTACTGAGCTGTGGACAGGACTCCTCCATGGCTGTGGTTGTTGACAGGTAGTCTGAACTGCCTGGAGGAGAGGAACGCACTTTGAGCTTCCCAGGCAAGAGCAGACCCACCGTTCATGGCACTGGCCAGGCCCCAGCTCCAGCTGCGTCTGCTTCTTTCAAGTTGGGCAAGACTGAGTGTCACAGCAAAGAACCTCGCTGGAGATCAAACTGTCCCTCCTGCACCAGGGAGGCCATAGACCCTGGGGTGCCTTTCCAGGTCTACTCGTGAGAGGAGATGTGGGTCAGGAGTACCCTCAGCTCTGCCCCTGCTGCTGAGGTGAGTACTACTCTGGCATGGGGCTGCCCTTGAGACTGTGGGGAGCGGGCAGGGGAAGAGAGCGTGGGGAGGTGGTTTGGGACCTGGCCGTGGTCCTCCTCAGCTACTGCTTCTTATCAATACTTAAAGGGAGGGTGCCAGGTAGACGAGAACAGTCTTTTTTCAGCGGTGCCCAGTGATAGGACAAGAGGTAACGGGCACAGACTTGAACATAGGAAGTTCCATCTTAACATGAGGAGGAGCTTCTTTACTTTGAGGGTGGCAGAGCACTGGCACAGGCTGCCCAGAGAGGTGGTGGAGTCTCCCACACTGGAGACATTCAAAACCCGCCTGGACACCGTCCTGTGCAACCTGCT